AAAGGGTGCACGCTGTTGTGGATTCCTATATCACACCGTGGATTTGACTTTTAAAAAACCCCAGTCCACCCAATCGGGGAGACACCGGCATAAGCAGACAGGTTTGTTTCAAGTTGTCTTTTGAACCCAGGGAAGGCCTTATACTGGCAATGCCCCCTGTTTGCCTCTGACAATTGTTAGCTCAAATGTCTCGGATGCAATTCGAGGCACTGGGAGAGGGGTCTATTTGACCCTGGGCCCTTGAATTGAACCCAGAGGTGAAGCAGCAACCAGTGCAGGCTACATGTCTTGTCACATGCCATTAGGTCAGCTGCTGGCCCTTTTTGTGAAATCCAAGAGCGATCTTCAGTCTTGCAGCACAGAAGTATTGCCACAGAATGGATGATGGAGGCGATACACGGCACCCGAAGGGAGAGTCTGCCATCTCGCCACACTGAAGTGCGAAGAGCAGTCTTGGCTTGTGCACTTTTAACCAACACCACGATGGGAGCTATCCGCAATGACCTCTCAGCCTTCCTCGCCTCTGTCTTGTCAGGGTCCTGTCCTACTCAGCTAGCTCGCAGCCAGGTCCTGGTCATGGGAAAGCCTAGCGAGGAAGATCTTCCTTTGTGAGAGGGCTGATCACTGCAGAAGCAGCTCTTATGCCCTTAACGTGGTAGAAGTCCAGCCTTCAAAAAAAAAAGAGACTTTTTTTTTTTTTTAGACTAAATATGTGTTTTCCTACAGAAGGGTCCCGTGCATCCAACTGTGGCTTGGAGACTTGACTGTGCTTAAAATGAAGTTCACCTCCTTTTGCCACCACGTTTCTCCTGACCAGAGAAGTGGTTCTCATCACCGACATGCTATTTAAAAACCCACAGGACCTATTGATGCTCTCCTTTCTGGAGATCTAGCCAGGCACAAGCCCTTTCAAAGCCAGGTTGTGCCAGATACTTCTGTGTCTGTGTACATCACCTCTGCCTCGCACAGCTCCACTGCCTGCTCGTATGTCCATTGGAAACAAAACGTCCCCTCCTCAATTCGAATGCCTGTGGGCACTTGCTCCAGCCCTGTCTTATGCCCCCTGGGCCAGATTAGGTGAGTCTTTTTGGGGTGATTTCAGTGGTCTTTAATCTGCTGTATACCCCACCAATCTGGTTTATACCCCAATCCACAGTCTCTCTGTCCTCGTGTTGTGTCCTGGTCTCTGTTCATGCCCCTTTAGGTAGCAGCTGCATGCTCTACAGATGTCATTTGGAAGAGCTCTGCAGAACGGTCTCCCCTTGTGGCTCTGCCTCTGCAGTCAAGTCTCTTTAAAAGCCTGGGTCAGGCCTTTTGTGTCTTCTCTGCTGTAGGCCTTTATTTAAATGTTGAGATTGTCACAGCCTGGCCTAGCGATCTGTAGGAAACCAGATGTCACCCCAAAGGGGTTATCAATTCTCTCTGCACCAAGGCTGGGAATGTAGCTGTGGAGCTCGCCCCACTTGCCTCTTCCTGGTCCTTTTGCACCAAACCTTGATCAGAAAGTAGCGGCTTGGCCTTCAAGCAGCTCCTGGCACGGGCCCGCCACCACTCGAGCTCTGTTTCAGGTGTGCTTATTCACACGTGCCCACAGCTTCTCTAAGGCTTCTACATTGCTTTGTTTCTGGGACCAGACAGGCCTAGGAAGTGGGCAGGAAGCAGTACGTGGTGGCAGTGTGAACAGCCCCTTGCTCCCAGACCAAAGCACCACGCTCGTTGAGACGGGCGGTTATGAAAACATGCAGTCGATAGGTAGCTGCATGATGCAGCCGTTCTCCCAGGTGCTCTGGTGCTACAAAACCATTGCAACTTTAAGCCCGTTTCCTTCAGAGATAAAGGACAGCAGCAGGCGTTACGGCTGCTGTGCTCTGCAGAAGAACTCCCTTCTACTTCTGATTAATTTGCGATTAACTTCCGGTTTCCTCAGTCCGTAGCCAGATGGCACTTAAAGTAGTCTGAAATAATTTAAAAGTACATATGGAGATGGTTGTGTTAATGGGAAGTCAGGCAAAAGCCAGGGTCGAGTTGCACCTTCTAGATTAATTGAATCAGAGATGTATATGTAAGTTTTCTTGAGCACAGATGACAAAGTGAGATGTGCCCGTGAAAGCTCATGCATCACCAATTCGGTGGGTCTAATAAGGTGCAACTACCCTCCCTTTAAAAGTATATGTGAAAATAATTTAAAAGTTTTTGTTTGTTTTGGGTTTTTTTCCTGCAACCTCTTTCAAATAGCAAGAGATTTCCTGGTCAAAAAGGAACAAGAGCTCCTCATAGGATTTACTGTGTTCTGCTTTATCTGCAGTGCAGAATATCTGTAAAATTTCCTGGCAGGATCGACCGACCCAATGAGGAGGCCGTGAGCCCTGTTTTGTGGTTAACCCATGAAAAGAGAATGTGGGATCGTATTTAAGCATCTGTTTCTTTAAGGCCTTTTGAATGCATCTCTTTGGAAAAACTCCTACAGATGATGTTGAACTTCATTTTGCAGTTAACACAATGGGCCGGGGCTGACCTGCTGTACAATGCCCGATAGAATTGAGAGATGGAAAAGCCCTCTTAGGTCCCAGTTTAATCCGTCCCCCCCGCCCATGCGGGATTGTTCCCTGTAGCCTGTTTTCTTTGCTGTGACCTACATCGTCAAACAGAATCTTGTTGCACACTTTTGTTTTGTACCTTGAGGTCCTCAGGGGGGCAAATCCCTTCTTTGTGGGGTGGGCTGTGTTGTTAAACAGGACTAGAGCCTGGAAGAAAACCATGGAGATGCTGGCACAAAGGGCTCTCTATGGTCCCAATTTTTACCTCTGGACATTAAGCACTAGACAAAATAGCCGTGCTGTTCTTCTCATAGGCTCTGCCGTGACTGCGAGGGTGCTGAGACCTGGGGAGCGAAGGTAGAAGAGGTGGCGGTGGGGGGGGCAGGGCATCCCTAATATTCATAGTTGGCAAGCACCTGAACTTTTGCAGGACTTGGAGAACAGTAATGCCTTTCTTGAAGATGGTGGCTCTTGAACAGGGAGTCATAATCACCGTGCTATTATTTCCATACAGGTAAAAGTTTCATGCAGGTTGGGTGGGGGGTAGGTAATCTCTTGTATGGGGTGGAATTTCCTTAAAAAAACGGGGGTCCCAGTACGAAAAAGATTGAAACCCACCACTTCTAAAATAATTGGCTCTCCTGAGAAGCAAGGCAAGGGAAGGGAAGAGATACTAGTTGATCTTAAAAACACTTAAGTCATTTTCCCCCTATCTGCAACAGTTGGGATGGGACTCTGATAGATAGTCCCATCCTTTAGGCAACTTTTTATTTAATAAAAGTTTTCTGACCTATGTAAAGCGTCCCAAGGTACAGTAAAAACTGTCCACTATAACGAGATCATTGACATGCAGCTTCTAGGTTGAACATGATTTTTTTTTTCCTCTCATCTTTTACCTGATTTATATGAAGGAAACAAGTTTTTGGTGCAGTTTTTTTCGGCAGGTTTGCTTTTGCAGCTTGCTGATACGTGATGCGGATTAGCCTGTTGGGTGTTCTCTCGTTATTGCTATCTTGCTGTAGTTGTGATATAAAATCTACTAGCACTGTAGGGCCAACCTCTTTGGCAGGCATGCTGCACCTTAGCCCCACGTCCTTTTCCGGTGCCCCTGCCCTGCCTAATCTCCTGCGTTGCTTTCTTCTTCCTGCCCCATGCTCCCTGCTCAGTTTTCTGCTCCCTGCCCTCTCTGCCTCGGTGCTGCCTGGCCTGCCGTCTCCATGGTCTGCTGTATGCCATGCACAGAGGCTGCCCGTGCCACTTGCAGTGCACATGCCCAAGGTTGGCCACCCCTGTGCTAGCAGCTCTATTTAAATAACGCATCCACTTTATCTGAGATCGACAGGTTTAAAAGGACAGCACAGAATCCAAATGCAGAACAAGGGGGGGGGTGGAGTTTAAAGATGCTCGTGTCTGAGGGAAGAGTCTGATTGCAGGCCGCAACCTTAATACTCGTCCTGGATAAACTATGGTGTCATCAAGTATGGACTACAGCACACTGTCAGATTTGTGTCCAGGAAAGACACAGCACTGTCTCCCAAGTGGATAACCAAAAATGTCAGATGTTTGAACAATGCAGCATAAGTGTCCAAGCTGGGAGAGCAGGGGAAAAAACCCAGGTGTTTTCCATTAGTTGCTTGATCTTGCAGTGCTGGGAGGTTTTGAACATGCTCCTCTGAGTCCAGGTGAGAAGAAGTTCATGTTTCAGGTTGGTTATACCCCATGCAAATCCATAGTAGCAAGGCCTTTGTTGGTGCTCTCAGCCCTGGTACCAGCAGTTTGGAGAGTGCTCGTAGCACAGCGAGTGACTGTGTACAGCGGGGGTGCATGGTGCAGTGGGTGGGTGAGGTGGTTCAGAGATGATTGCCATTCCCACCTTTTGTCCAGAGCTCCAGGGCTGCGGCCTGCAGCTAGAACTGCTTATGGGACTGAGGGGAGGTTGCAACATGAAACAGGACTGCTGGAAAACATGCGTGCATCCAGCCTTGCCCGGTAAACGGGTTTGGTGTTCCAATGCAAATTCAAACCCGAGTGCCCCTCTTACCAGGGTCTGAAGCTTTGTAAAGCTCTTTGAACACATGAAGTGGTCCGCAGCAAGTGTCGTCTTTGGTGCAGTGTGAGTGAAGTAGCAGGTGGCTTAGCTGAAGATGGGAGAAACACAGTGCTACTTTGAACAGCAGCATAAGGGCATCTTGTGGTGAATGCACCAGGGCATCTGCATCCTGCTCCTGAGTGCCAGCGTCAGACTTGGAGCAAGTCAGTTAACCAGTCTGTGCCTTCGTTTCCCCTTTGATTACCCAGCTTGATAGGGATGCAAGCTAACTGATGAGTGTAAGGCGTTTTGACCGTCTTTTCCAAGGGATTGCTCTGCCGTGATGCGTTGCTAACATTCAGGTGCACCATCTGTTTTGCTTTTTATATAGCCTATGCCAGCATATTCATCACTTGTGGGTTTTTGTGTTGCAGCTTTTGGATCTGTTCCTCCACTGGGACTGGTCGACATACCTGGCTGACTATGGGCAACCTACCTGCAAGTATCTTCGTGTGAACCCAACAACAGCCCTGACCCTCTTGGAAAAGTAAGTGCAGATCCAGATTTTCTTTTAATGGTTTCAGGTCCTCTACTTGCTTTAACAAGCAAGCATGTTCCCAGCGATGCATTTCATTGTTTGCATTACCTAGTCTTTGCAGTCTCAGAGGGAGAAAAATTGCTTGCTGACATATATGTCTCCGTTCAAAGGTTTCATCTTTTTTGGCACTGGGGTACCTACCACTATAACAGGAATTGCATTTTACGTGCCACATTTCATTGAAGCTACATAAAACACTCGTTCTGCTTGCTTCTAGGCAGAGTGTCCTTGAAGCTAAGTATAAGTAACTTCCGCCGCATACACGTGTCTAATAGGGGCACCAAAAATAGCTGTAAATTGACACCTGGCAGGCTTTCATGGCTTTTCTTTTCAATGATGTGTTTATGGACTGCGGTGGCTCTATTAGAAAGAGAACTGCACGCTTGCAATGCCGAGTTTGGTTATGGGAGAG